AAACTAACCAAACCAAACCAAACCAAACCAAACCAAACCCAACCAAACCAACCCAACCCAACCAAACCAAAAAACTAACCAAACCAACCAAACCAAACCAACCAAACCAAACTAACCAAACTAACCAAACCAACCCAAACCAAACCAAAACCAAACCAAACTAACCAAACCAAACCAAACCAAACCAAAACTAACTAACCTAACCAACCAACCAAACTAACCAAACCAAACCTAACCTAACCTAACCTAACCAAACTAACCAAACTAACCAAACCTAACCTAACCAAACTAACCTAACTAACCAAACTAACCTAACCTAACTAACCAAACCAAACCAAACCAAACCAAACTAACCTAACCTAACCTAAGCCATCCGAACCCACGCAGCTGAAAGTGACCGGAGGAGAACCCGAAAAGGAGCAGCCATCCAAACCATAGGAGGATGAGGAGCGGCCGTCTAAACTCACGTAGCTGTCCGGACTTGAAAGAGACGCCCAGGGACGATTGGAGCAGCCAACGACGTCGGGAGAGCCGGGCAGGACGAAAGACCCGGATACGTCGGAAACCACCGAACCCAGACGAACGATACCTGGTAGGCTACAGGTACCTCAGGAACGACCAGGTAACGCCCCAGGTAGCGAGCCTGAGACGCCTGTAGTTTTAGAGTAGTAAGTTGGTTAAAATTATAATAAGTAGTAGATTAGACTTAGGTTTAAGCGACTGACCGGTACGGCGCGGTTTCGGAACTGTGACGCGCCTAACTTCCGAACAAAGGGTGGCCTGGAGAGGTAGAAAAATAGTAGACGTGGTGTAGGATCGTCAACGGGGGCGAGTCCTGTGGGTGAGAGACGTGAGACGAGCCTGCTTTCCGAAAGGAAGGTTAACCGATAGGCCAAGTCCAAAATCCCGCGGAAAGGTAGCTTGCAACGTAAGAGAGAGAGAGTATAGCGAGTGAATCCGGAGCCGGAACCGCGTCATCCGCCAAACGTATAATTTGACATCAGTATGTGATTTAAGTTATTCCTATTTTAGTACATTAATCGGGCGCGTAGGTTGAATGTTCCGCGAATATAA